TTTCGTATCACATCATGACCTTCCTAACTGCAATGCGACCTCCCTTTCTGTCATACTGACAGGATCGCCCTATGTGGCAAAACCTACTATTTCTGTCCCAGAGTAGAGATATGCAGGGTGTATTATAAGATCCAATGATGTTTTTCCTAAAAGTAGACTATATTTAGGTCTGAATACACAGGCCTCTGGATCCACGTACCAAACTAGAGTTTTGGCTTACTTTCAATGATGAAGAACAGATTTAAGCTGTTAAGCCCTGAAGTGAGGCATTCCCTATCCCTATGTCTTCCTGTGTCATCTTTCGTATGGCCTACTTGACCCATCATCTGCCAGTTGGATTTGACATTTGCTAATGTTCACGGAGAAAGGAAAATGAATAGAGCATCACTATCCTGCCTCCAATGTGCTAGTCTATAGAGCAGAAAGGGTAAATAAATACTAACTCTTCAGTGCTGTGGGTATTGATCTCATCCAGCCTCTCTATCCCCCAGATTTAGAGCACTTTATCCGAAACATTTAGCTGCCTTCTGCTCACCAACAGGACCACCTATGGAAATAAGCTCACAGATAGCACCTGGTTTCATTGTACACAGCTATTAGATATTCTCTCCTTCTTGATTGGAGCCATTGTTTAAGGTTAATAAAAGTGGAAAAGTGTATAAAAACACTCTTCTGAAATAAATTCCACAGTGCTTACTGACATTAGCTACAAAATAGCTATGTTGTTCAGATGCTGCTCTAACCAGTGCCAACCTCTACAGGGCAAGAAACAGACCAGCAGTTTTCTTCTCTTAAAAGTGAAAATGATCAAATAATATTCTTCATACAGCTAATAAAAAAAAATGCAATAGGGCTTGTTGCTCAGGTTATGTGATCAAAAAACAGTCTACCCCTGCTTGCTAGGGCTTGAATAGGAGTTGTGAAGTCAAGCACCAAGGATTGCTTTCTATCAATTCCCATACATTTACACACAAATATTGACATTCCTCTGACACATCTACTGAAGAAGAGGCCACGTCCAGAAAGCTCCCACAGCCTTATCCACGCTGAGTATTTCCCTCATTCAAAAGCAAACTCCACTGAAGGTTACTCACAAAGAGTGATACAGTCCAGTGTGAGCAAAACTATTAGCACGTTGCCTTTCATCTTTCCATTTCACATCCGAGAAACTGCCAGTGCTCCTGGAGCAACACAACTTCTGTAAACTGAGATCACACCAAACAACAAGGGCCTCATTCTTATTTTTAGATGATTTAAAGCAGATTGGGCAGTTCTTACTCATGCAAAACTCCCACAAAGGAGAGCTGAAGCACAGTAGGGCTGGGTGAGCATCCTAGCTAAGTTGTAATGCTTGATACTCTAATATCCAACCAATGGCAGTACTGCTCAAAAAATTGCCTTAGAAATGACATATTAGCGTCTTATTTTCGACTGGTAGAAACTTTTTCTTCATGCTGAAATAAGCAAATGATCAGGTTCTTGTTGTTAAAAATCAATATGGCTTTATAGTAACATTTCATTCTTCCAGAATAATAAAGGAACAGAGCGAGTGTTTCAACCAGCTCATCAGATATGATCAAAGGTACATTTGGACACAATCGGAACACACACACACACACACACAAAATTTCCCCTTTTTCCTAAGAAAAAGCTTCATTGACTATTTTCCCTGTATATGCTATTGGCAAACTTACAGCTGAAGCACAACCACAGCATGAGCAGCAGAGCTTGTAACATTTTATGAAATATTAACAACACAGAATATGTTACAAACGGGATTCCAGTCTTCAACTATTACAAGGAATAATAGAACATGGAAACTAAAAAAAAAAAAAGCTAACAGCCCCATATTTTACTTACTTGAAGCATATTCAGTTGTTACCTTAAAAACAATTTTTATAAAATTCTGTACTCAATAATTTAGAGGGAAATGCACTTAAAAGGGGTTTCTACTGCACATTTTTAAATCCGTTACAGTGAATATTACTATTTATCGAACTCAGAAGAAAAAAAGATCCTCCTGAGGAACTGAATCAGATGAGTAATTGTGATGAGAAACAAACTAAAACCAAAGAAAATGCCCTGTTCTTAAGTACGCTGCTACGCATAGATGTTCAGGATCTGCATCAATCCTTTTTAGACAATTTGAAATGCAAAACAGAACAGAAACATTATTTCTTTCATAATGATCACAGAATGATTTCATAGCAAAGAAGTTACTTTTAAGGCACATCAGCCACTCCGTATATCCTTCACTGCCATTAAAATCCAACTGTTGATTACATTTCATTTCCACAGGTTCCCTGAATTTTATGAGGAAAAAAAGAAAGGGGAAGGATTGTGTTTACAGGCAGGAAACCTCATTCCAAAAGCAGTGCAACGGGGAAACTGCTGTGTGTCTGCAGACCGGGAAACTGCTCTAAGATGAGCATTAAGTGACAAGAACAGACCTTTATCTCGATAGGAACGAGTATCTCTAATGAAGCTGTCCAGGAGCTCAGAGGTAGTAGCTATGTACCATGTGTTGCTTTGGTTGCTCTGGAAATTGTATAGTTTATTCAGATTAAACAAACCTGAACTTTTTTTTTTTTGCTACGTTGCTACCTACAAACAATCTGAGCTTGTCTCAACTCATCTTGAAGTCATTTTAAAATGAATTCTCTATTTTGCAAAAAGAGAAAATGGCTTGTAATTTCCTCCTTTTGGTCGCTACTTTTTTCCTAATTTTTGTCTGTCTCCAGTACATATCTGTACCAAACCATTTGTCATTTTCAAATGGATGCCCTTAAAAATAAGTCTTAATGTCCAAGTGCAAATACTTAAACAAAGCTGCAATCTTTTCACGACTCCAAGCCTTTTATTTATTTTTTTTTGTGAAAGGATCCAATAAGTTATGGATTTAGACTTTGAAAACATCTCATCTGTTTCTTTAGTGAAATCAAGCAAACTTCTAATATCTTCGGTGCAATCATCTTATCCTTCTTTAGGTAGAGCACTCACTGAACTGGCCCCAAGGCTAAATTATGTGTTGAATTAACACCAGAATCATAACCACTGACAACCTGCTTTTCCATGCTCAAGGGAACTGAATGTTTATAATGAAAAACAGAAGCAACAACCAAAGTTCGTTGTCTATCATTTCTACTTAGAAATGAAGAATTCTACTTAGAATGAAGAGAGACTACAGACACCTTTCAGACAGAACAGAGAGTGTAAAGAAGAGGATGTCTAATGAGTCTCAAGTATAGATTCCATCTAGTTGTTTCAAGAAGCCTGCTGTATTAGATTAGATTTCACTGCATTTCAAAGAGCTGTTTACTATGGAAAGGTTAATTTGAGGCAGATGCCAAATCCTACTGCCTACGGAACGAGTGATATGCATAATAAAATGGAGCAGTATTTTAGCCTGCTAACAGAATACACATCTTGTAGCAGTCCAGCTGGAGAGGGCATGTAAGAGCTCAGCTGAACCCTACACACAGTGTGTGTTCAGTGATGAATGTACGGGCACCGCCTTTCCCTCATTCTACCCATCAGTTTATGACATGCTATAAATTTATAGGAAGCAGAGTTTGCTTTAATAATTATTCAAAGTCTTTTCCCTCCCTTTCCCTCCTCCCCTCCAGGAAAAAAACAATCTGAAGTCACAAACCAGAAATACAAGCAGGGAAAAGGAAAGAAAGCAGCATTAATACTAAAGGTTTGAAAAAGCTGTACTTTCCTTTGAGATTTGTTCACACACGTCGCTGACAATGTATGTTTCTCATTAAAAAAATAAATATAAAGGATTTAGTTGCTCTGAGACTGTAAGCATGAAGGATTTAAAGGCTTCAGTCGTGTGGTGACTGCCCTTCCTCTGAACATCTGCATAGCAGACTACCTCCAACTGCCTGCCTGAGAATGAGCAGCACCCAGCCAGCCCCTGAGACGAGCCCTTCGGAGGGGGGACCTAAAAGGAGTAGATGAAAAAGTTCCCCAGGGTACCTGCAATTTGAGCTGGTTGGAAATTTTTTTCTCCTCAAAAAAATACTAGTTCATTTCACCAAAATGATTTTGTTTGAATGGAAGTTGGTTTACGAAACTGCACCCCCACCCCTGGCCCTGACCCCAGGCAAGCTACCTGCTCCTAAATAGTGGGATGTTGAGGCCATTGATCTGAGAGTGATGGAGCAGGAATTTGCTGCCTGGCAGCCCGGCAGGAGGAGGGAACAGATGGGGTCACGGGCTGCATGTGCTCTTTTCCATATTTTCTGAAAATATTCAAAATTCCCAGGTGTCCCACTGACAAGTGGAAAATCCTGGGAAGACAGGAAAAACATATCCCCATCCAGCTCTACATACTAAGACTTCTCCAAAGAAAAAGAAAACCCGATGCTTCATGCTTGACTTAAGCCCTGTGTAAAATCACCATTCAGAAGGTTTTAACAGTACAAAGGTTTATTTAGAAAAGAGTTTGGATTGTTCTTTAGTTTTTTTTTTTTTTGGCAAACATTTAAATCTTTCATAACTCAAAACACTGCCTGTACCTTTTCCTACGTAAAAGCGAATTTCTTACTGGGACAAGCCCATGAGAGGTCCTAGCTCCTCTCTGTATCAAACCTCAAATCTGCTATTCCACCACCAGTACCACTTAATTCTTTGTTCTTATGTTTTTGCTTTGCTTCACACAAAATTCCAGAGCCTGAATGAGGTTGCTGCCTCTCAAACCCAGTGTGTTACTCCACCTTCCTCTGCTGTTCCCCATGTTCTCCCTCAGGGTTCCAAGGAATCGCCCCCTTCCACATTTACCCATCCAGACTCCCGAACGGCTCCTCCGGCACCTGGCTGCCATTCCACACCACAGGGAATGTCCTCAGCCACCCCGACCCCTTCAATCCTCCTGTTCCACACAGCCACTCAGCATCTCTGAGGCAGCTTCCTTCCATCTCAGCACAAACCCTTCCCTCCCTGCCTTTTCAGCATAGAGCCCTTTCCCTTTCTTTTAATTCCACTCATGTTCAAGACAAATCCTTCCTCCTATCCCTCCGGCTCAATGCCGGAAGTTCTTCTTCTTCTTCTTGAAAAGTATGTGTTTAAAGGACCTGCGAAAGTCCTGGTTGAAGATGGTGTAGATGACTGGGTTGAGGGAGCTATTGCAATACCCAATCCAGAAGAAGAACTTGAAGAGAGTCTCAGGGATCTCACATGCCTCCCGGCAAATACCGTAGAGGCTGTAACTGAAGAAGAAAGGGAACCAGCAAACTACAAAGACCCCCATGACCACAGCCAGCACAAAAGTGAAGCGTTTCTCCCGGGCCTGGGTGACTTTCTTACGGCAGATGCTGCTACGCTTCCGGCGCCGGCGATAGGAGAAGAACTGCATGGAGCGACTGCTAGAGCGGGACAGACGGCTGCTCGAGTGCTTGGAGGAGTATGAGTAGGAGAAGGACTGGCTCTTGCTGCTTTTACGGGGATGCTCCTCCCGACTCCGCCTCCGCCTGCTCTCCGAGGTGCTGCTCTCCTCCAGCTCAATGTCCTCCAGCTCAGAGGCTTTACGCCACTGGTGCACTGAATAATGTCCGTTCTCTCCCAGCTGCTTCCTCAGGGAAGTGCCGCCCCGAGCAGCCCGGCTCAAGCCATTCTCAGTCTGGGAGGACCCCTCTGGCATGGTACGCTTCTCAGAGAGGGTCCTGGTCCTCAGCTTGGCCACCCGGTAGATGCGGATATAGACCAACACCATAATGAGGCAGGGGGCAAAGAAAGAGCCAATGCAAGAAGAAAGGATGTACCATGTCTCGTCGTTGAGCTTGCACTGAGGAAAGACATCTCCCTCAGGGTCCCGGTACATGGAGATCAATGGTGGGAAGGAGATGACGGCCGAGATGAGCCAGACAGTGAGGATGATGGCCTTGATCCGCTGCGGGGTCCGTTTGAGGTTGTACTCCACTGCCTGTGTGACGGACCAGTACCTGTCGAGGCTGATGGCGCACAGGTGGACGATGGAGGAGGTGCAGAAGAGCACATCCAGCGCCAGGTAGATGTTACACCACGCCTTGCCGAAGTACCAGTAGTTCATGAGCTCGTTGGCTAAGGAGAAAGGCATGACCAGGGTCGCCACCAGGATGTCCGCGCTGGCCAGGGACACCAGGAAGAGGTTCTGGGGCGCGCGGAGTGCCCGGCTGGTGAGCACGGCGATCACCACCAGCACGTTGCCCACGATG